CACTCACCTCTTCCCACTTGGCGACAGGTAGGACTGGCTCCAGCAGCCTGCGTTCACCTTTCCGTGGTGACCCGCAGGCACAAAGTCCCAAGCTCCAAGCACGCTAGATCACTTCCTTACTTCGTTCTATCGAACAGGTAAGAGTAGCAGAAAGGAGTCGTGCACGCAGTGAAACAGTTTTGATTATAACCCTTCACAGAGCAAAAGGCACCGAGCTACAACTTGTGCAAGCTACCTTCTCGCGAAGCTCTGGATGAAAATCGCTCGTACATCTCGGCGCCAATCCGTGCCTGCAGTGGTGCTCGTGCGTGTGCGTGTTGTGCATGTACGCACTGGTAATTATTGTGTAATTATCTTACAGGTACAGTGTAGATAATTGTTACTACAGTACCATCACCATGATCACATGATCACTAGTAGTGTGCAACTGTCAGTCATGATTGCGGATGTGCTGGATGGTGAAACTGGGCAGGTGGCATGCTGTCAAATCAAGACCTACCCACTAGTGCTTACACTTCACTTTCGACTTCAAATAATTCAGCGCGCACGAAGTAGCGCTGTACGGGACTCAGTTACAGTAGTAGCACTAACACTAACAGGCGACACGAGTGTGAATGTGTGAACGAAGGCGCAAGTGTGAATACTTTCCGGCAATCTGCTCAGCCCAAGCCCAAGATCCTCTCCGCTGTTCGTCTCAACGGGATTCAGAAAACAACCAGATGCAACAGAGAAGGAGAACAAGGTTGTTGCACTCAACATGAGAGCAACGGGGGACCCTCTTCCGAAAACCAGGTTGTAGATATGTATGCGACATTTCCAACAGCATCACCTGATCCTAATGCATTAATGAGAAATCAGTCAGGTCACGTGATGATAGCATCGCTACTCGGTACGTTTCGTGTTTGTGTGCGTGTGCGTGCGTGCATGTGTGTGTGTGTGTGTGAGTGTGCGTGTGTGTATGTGTGTGCGTTTGTGTGTGTTGCGTGTGTGTTTTCGAGCAACCACAAGCTAGAACAGATCTAGATGCTGTATGATAGAGTTGGCTTGCAGTTCCGGCTGTGGTGGTGGAACTGGAGTACATTGTACCATCATGTACATTTCTGCCGACCTGAGGTCGACCATATCGGCTTGACACTCTAGTGCACCAGGGCAGGGGGGGGGGTGAGCAACAGCAGGTAAAGGGGTGGGGCAGAGTCCTTCAGGGAAGGTTGAGAGGTCATCTTTGGCTGATCTCCAGTCTCGATTGTGGGAGGACTGTAGTCGCCTTCATACGCTTCTGTGTGGAGAGATCACCATGGTCATGCTGCAGGGCAGTGGGGAGGAGTCGATTCTATTCTTTGTATCGTGGCATGGGGAATGACCTGGTGCAGTTCCATACTACTAGTACTGTGGATAATCCCAGCCTAGCAGAATGGGGCCACAGCTGGAAAATCACAGTCGAGCCCGACAAAGCCCCAAGTCCTGACCATTGTCCATCACCGTCAACTCTGGCCGACTCCTCCAGTCACATTCAATGGGGTGCCATTGAGGTGACCATAGAGGAAGTGAAGGAGCTGAAGCTGCTTGGAGTGCTCTGCGATCGGAACCTCTCCTTCTGCTCCCACAACCGACAAGTTGCAGTACTCACTTCGTATAATTATGCTGTATTTGAGTAGGATCCTCATTCCTTACGACATGCTACCTTTCATCGTTTTCAGTGTGTGAGTTGTGAACCAATCCTCCACCATGGCAAATTGCGTTTGTTCGCCCGTAAGAGAGGCTTTATGATGACAAGTTGCAGCCCGTGGTCACTCACCACCGCCTGGGCTTCGTGAGGAAGGCTCTGCCAAACCTCCACAACAAAGTCACGGCGAATGTGCCGTGCACCGTTACCGCGACTTCGTCCGCCCATGCAGTTCTGCGGCACTGCCCACTTTCATGGCGTCCCAGTCTAGCCTTGACCGGCTGGACCAAGTACAGCGCCGAACCCTAACTCTCATCGGCTCGGGGTCGTACCGTCACTCGCATCTCGGAGGCTCCTAAGCCTAGCGCCTCACTACGCGGAGGCAAGTTAGTTGTAGCAATCACATGCCTCTACAAGCCCCACTGGAATCATTGCCCACCGATCTTGACGGCCATGACTGTGACCGATGGAAGTCGTTAACCAGCACCGGCGCTAAACTCGCCACCAGCAAGAGGAGCAACACCAGCATGCAGCACCAGTTAGCACAGACGCTGCACCCTGGAGCTCACTCTCCGAGTCTCCGACCCCCCCCCCCCCGACCCCATGACACCATCCATGAATGGAATGCAGCCTCCACGCCCTGCTGAGTAAAGATCAGACCCACTTTGATCCGCAATTCTCACTACACTACAAGCAAGTATTACCTTCACTAGGGGGCGGGGAAATACAGTTGGATCCCGGAACGGATAGCTTGAGGCCATCAATTTATTTCTCCGCCCTTGCCATCACTCACTTACTAGACTGCGGCGTGGTGGGCCATCACGGCCCATCAATGGGATCATTTCCAGGTCCAGCCAGAGGTTGGGGAATCCAGGGGTTGTCGACCTTTGGCCTGTTTGGGAGGTTCAATGGTGTCATCTTTCCAACATTCCTTCTGAATCTCTCTTCTTTCCGGCCTCCACTGGAGAGACCTGCGCGATCTTGCAAACAGCCCCCCCCCAACACACACACACACACACCACACACACACACAAACACATACACACCACACACGTACACATACTGACATAGAGTTTGCAAATGGGAGGAACACCATGTACTTGTATGCCCGTACGTCACAGCATGATTCATATGTCACTTGCTACGGATGAGTCATGCAATGCTGACCACAGCAGGAAGTGAACGGCTTATGGAGAGTAGATCGTATACACCATCTGCAGGTCTCACCATGTGAGATCAGCCAGCAAGTCTTGAGTGTCCTGGTCATGGGCAGACACAGTCTTCTGATCCGCCTCAGCAACATTGACAGTCTGCTGCTGTTGCTGCGCATGGAGTCAGCATCCATTAGCTGCTGCTGCTGCTTGCTCGGAGCTGGTGCAGCCTGTTCGGCCTTGATGCGTTGGTAAATGGACTCTGTGAGCGTTTGAATGAATTTCTCATGAGTTTCCATCATGTCTTGCTTGTAAAGTTCAATCCTTGAACTTATTACGAGCACACACACCAAACCTGCGAGAGCAGTAGATTTTGACTTTACTTCGTTGCGAACATAAACAAAAAGAACAAAGAAATGCAAATCACTCCAGATTATCAGAACTGGATGGAAGGTGCTAGAAGAAGTAGAAGAAGAGAGAAGGATGCAGAACCGGATCGGATGTGTACAATACGGTGACAAGCTAGACCACATGCTAGTAGGTGGGGTGATCATGAACGCGTGTGATCATACATGGAGTGCCATGTGGTGGCACAGCAAGGTACTAGATCATAGATGACTGTGCAATAATTACACGCAGCACGTACAACCACGGGGTACAGCAATGTAGCACCTGCAACACAGCTGGGAGTTCTGCTTGTGTGCTTGTGATGCAACTTGGCCATCATCATCTGCCTTCAATACCTCGGACAGGTCGGTATCGCTGAGCTCTTGGGTGGATTTCAGGGCTTCATCAACGCTCAGCTTGCCAGTGGCACCAGATTCAGCCTTGCTGTTCTGTAGACCGTGTTGTGCAGCGTTGACTTGCTGCAGCTCTTCCTGGAGTAGCTGCTTCAGAACTTTCTCTAGGCGCTCCTGAATGGGCACGCACACAAATTGTGACACAATACAAAATGCCAGGAAATCAGATTGTTACTACACTGTACATGTACATGTTGTTAGATTGACAGCATGAAACAAGGTGGAGGACACTGTGTTCGGAAACAGAGACCTTACTACAACCATCCACGGTTGGCAGAGCCCCCGGTCCATGAGGACCATTTGAACCATATGGGTGTTGAACCCGGTTCTGACCCTCATTATGCTTGGGGAGTTTTAGCTTGTTTCATGCTGTCAATCTAACAATATTTGTGAACTATAGCAAGGTTTATGTAATACTAGTTTTGAATTAGTATTAGATAACCTAATACTAGTTCAAAACTAGTATTAGGTTATCTAATACTACACTGTACATGTGCAGTAAAACCTGGTTTAAGCGATCACCTCACGGTGCAAGCAAAACTTGAGCGGTCGCTAGAGCCAGGTGGTCTTTGGAACCAGGTCCCATACATTGGTGACATCTTTATTGTGTGCAAACATGTGCATGATTGTACTCATATCGACAGGTGTGGAGCGTAGAATACTTTCTGCAGCAAAGCACGTCTCACTCAAGTGCATGCAGCGCATCCTGCACTGTCCCTTGTCACTTCTGTTGACTGTATGCACATGAATCAGAGTGCACTTCAACCCTGTTGCTGTCAAACCTGACAGCTAAGATGGCACTTTGGGTTAGTTTTGCGGGGTCCCTGTGTGCAGGTCCAATATGGCACTTGGTACACTAAAAGGCGGTCACTGGTCACGCAAGGCAGGTGGTCGCTGTATCCAGTGCAGTTTCTGTGTAGAACTGTCCATGCATGGAGAAAAAAAGGCAAGTGGTCGCTAAACACAGTGGTCGCTTACACCAGGTTTTACTGTATGTGCAAGAGCCACCATGAATTAAGAAAAAGAAACGAAGCAAAAGCCACCAAGACCAGAGAATTAAATAAATAAATAATTAATTATAGGTAAGCAACAGATCACTAGAAGTCCATTCTTTACCTTAACTTCACACCAAGATTTCTGAATAGTCTTAGCTTAGTGTTCTAGCATTTTTGTCTCCGAGGAAACTGACTATGTGCTCTTACAGTGTTCAAGACAGGGTGCTATTTTTCAGTAGTGTATGGTTCGTTTTAACCCTAGCTGGAGTAATAGCAGCGGCTCCGTACTTCTCGCAGTGCATGAACATTCATGCTGCAAAAGACATAAAGTACAAAACAGCCCGGAATAACGGTACTAGTGGAGCCAATAACGGTACTAGTGGAGAACTCTTACCAGCACCTCCGTTCTCTTCTCCTTCAGCCCGGCTGTTGCAGAAACAGGAGAAGATATACCACAGAAGAGAAATAGCCTTGGTGGGACCTAACTCAGGCACGGTTCGGGGGTGAAAGTCTAGAGAGTGAACGCTGGTGCAGCTATTAAGGATATCCTTCCCGTGTGCGACCATGACTAAACAGGAATAGTATTGCCGAGGAATTGCCATAATATGACTAACTTAACTTACCATCATCATTAGCGATGTTGATACCATTCCGGGGTGGAGGATGAGAGTGCACTGTGTGTACGACGACGCACATGGTCAGCAGAAGAAATCTGATATCCATGTCGGTGTCTGTCAGAACACACAAAACAAGACACCGATTAGAAGCATGTCTGGATCTCCCGTGGTGACCGTTTGAAACTCACACCGGCCCTCTTAAAGAACAGCCTCTTCGTGTGATGAAAGCCCAATTTACCCATTCTCACATACTTCCGCTTATCCATTGAAATACCCGTTACTCTGAATCCCATACAGTCATGTATGATAGGTTTTGATGGGGGAAAGCTGGAGATATGGCATGCGAGTACTGCTATTAATGATTATTTCCTTAAACAGCAGTTCAAGTGGACTGATCTCCAGGTCCACCGGTTCGCATGGCAAATAGTGTAATAAAGCTACTACTTGGAAGTACATGACAAAAGTGATTACGCATACAGGTAAAAATACCAGGGCTTTGGCCGAGATGTCTGGGGCTTGCCTGCATGCGAATCACAAGGTCCCGAGATCGACTCGGAGTGAGGGCAACATGGGTGCAGCTGATGAGGTTTTGTCCCCGTGTCAGGCCGTGGGACTAATTCTTAGTTACCACCTCACCCTCGCCGCTAGGTGCTACATCTGCCACCTTGCTATCTCAGGCATGGTGGTGGCCTGGCACAAGTGAAACTTCCTAAGCTGCTTGTGTTTCTCACCACAGTTGCATAGCCCGATGACAAGGATGTGCGCACTTCAAGTTCTGGTACCTTATTTGTTGACCGCGCGGCACGGTGTAAATTCCAGCTTTGCAACGCGCTTCCTAAAATGGCACTTACCATGACATTTTTTCTTCAGACTCTTCCCGTTCGTATTTTTCCCGTTTCCACCTTTCCCTCAAGCAAGTGAATACCATGACAAATTGACAATATTTCCCAAGTGCATTGGTTTCCATATTCTCAGTACTACACCCTTTTAGCATGGATACTGGGGGGTATTGGGGAAAGAGCTGCTCCCGGTATTGAGTGAGTACGGAATACGCTGGCTTCATTCTACAGGGAGTACCCCCTGCTTTTTCTCCTCTGCCGACCACTGACTGTAAGACAAGAGTATAATTGCCCGCGCATTGTGGCAAGGCATATCAGTGTGCAGGTGATGCATCGGCAGGGACTTCACATTAATTTTCGTAAGCCTAATGCTTGGCCCAAACTGGGCCGATTTTTCGGCCGATGCTCCGACACCAACTCCGACATTAAATCGCCTGACTGGGTGATACACACATTTTTTTGTCGGAAACATCTGCGACAACACCGTCCATACCAGGCAATTTGATCTTGAGGATTTTTCGTACGATTCGATATCGGCCGAAAAATCGGACTTGTGTGGGCCAGGTATTAAAGTTCAAGTGAGATCTGTTATACTTATAGCCGGGCATGTATATTCCCTACAGGGGACTCTTCACTAGTCTCTAGCTCTAATCTTGCCTCTTGTCCGTGCCAGTTCTATTTTACACCAGCGCCTAGCGCCTAGCTTTCGCTCCGCGACACCAGAGCGGCAGGGCGACGGGCTCTCACCTGTTTGTTTTTTAGCGAAACAGGAAGTTCAAACTGCGTGACCAGTCTGTTGATCAGATTGACGGGGCAAGAAGCCGGCGCAACCACCCCTCAACCACAAGCACACCGTATGACTTCTATAATTATTATTCGTAGCTTCGTCCTTGAGAGCAACAGCAAGGAACCAGCGAAGCAATAACTAACCACGGAGTCACCTTCTCGGATCTGCAGACATCTGCTTGGTCGAGTACTGAGTTGAGTAGTTCTATCTCTAATTACCCGAAATAATTCGTGCACGCGTGGCACCTGGACCTGGTAGAGTATACAGCCCACACTGCCACAGCAATAGGGGCTAGGGAAAGCGCGGTGCAGATTCACCAACCTACCCACTACACCATGCAGCGGACGCGCCTATTTTGAATACTACAAGTACGGTAGTAGGCGATGCGAAGCGTGTAATATAAAAATCTAGCACTTGCAACCTGGTGAGAGAAGCACAGTGAAGCCTTTGTTGCTTCGTCTTAGCTACCCTCGGAAGGCAACTGAAAGGCAAAGACAGTGAGAACCAGCTGCTTGCACATAGCGAGCGAGTGACGGAAGACCCTGGTCGGAAACACAGTTTTGTCAGGCTGCAACCACGCCCAGGTGATATTTCCCGCCATGAGCATGGTCACGGATAGCTACACGTGAACTGGGACTTCTCTCATCTCATAATTATTCGAGTCACGGTGGACAAACTACATGTAACTGTTACTTGAACAATGTAGAATGACTAAAGATCTACGGACCTAGTACGGTTGGTTCCAACGACCAGCGTTTACTGTGGCGTATAGGTACAGTCATGTAGCTTGTTTTGTCCAGCCCCTTTCTGGTGAGACATGACAGGTCGTTGAGTGTACTTCAGAAGTATGCATAAGTACCAGTACATGACATTGTAGAACTGCAGATAATAATCGACTATTGCCAGTGGCGAGTCGGAAAGTGCTACATGTCACACACACACACACACACACACACACCATTGGACCATTGGACGCCCATCGCCGGAGGCGATGATAGCGATACTACAGCAGAAGCCATAGCAGCTTGTGCTGGGATTGCACCATTGATTCAACAGCTTGCAAGGCTGAAGAATTGACCGCCACTATTCAGCCTGGTCTACACCACACAGCTACATGTATGAAGTGGCTTTTTCTGGCCAGTGAATCCCTACTTTTTGGTCTTTTTCATTTTTTTTCCACACACACACACACACACACACACACACACACACACACACACACACACACACACACACACACACTTGTTGCTCACTGCCAAAACTGGGAAGTCACGTGGGAGAGAGGGGACACACACACACTCAGTGTTGGGCAAAAGGGCCTGTTCATACTTTGAAGTAATTGTAAAAGCCATCACTGTTGTAGACTTGATCTGATCAATGATCATGTACTGGCTCTTAATTTTTTGAAAATAAATTTTAAATTTTGACATACATGTACGTGTACGGTAGGCTTTCCCCAAATCGGCCCATTTTTCCGCCTATTCGGCTTTTCGCTAAGCTCAAAAATACATCAGATTCGGCTGCAAAATCAGCTGATTGCTCGAAAATCGGCTGCAAAATTGGAATAATATTATAGGAAAATCGGGTAAAAGAATTGTTGGCATATTGGCTTCAAATTTGGTGAGATTTTCGGCAATTCTCAAAGAAACCCTCCAAAATCGGCGAAAAGCTTAGAGATTTTTCGCAGTCTCGTTTTCGGCCGGCCGATGTGGGGATTTTACTAGTAACGATCTTCCTATTGAGTAATGGCAAATGTTTGTTTGAGACGAGGTCAAAGGACACGAGTCACACGACCTCAACACACGAGTACTACTACAAGTACTGAAGTAGAGAGCTCGAGCGGTCATGCTTGCAGCAACATCATTCGTTCGTAAATGCACTTTGCAACAAAATTTGGTAGATTTTCGGCGTCTTGAGACTCTCAAGGGAACCCTCCGAAATCAGCGAAAGGCTTAACGATTTTTCGATAAGTCTCGTTTTCGGCGAATTTTTCGGCCAGCCGATTTGGGAAAAGCCTAGTGTACGGTACATGTCCATGTGTCCGGGATGGTCCAGATTGCAATATTGTTGGTACATGTACAAGGTATGGTGCATGTGCAGTTGCCATGGTCACCGGCGGTATGTTGCGAAGTTGAAGAACTTCGGGAGTGCTGCGCAATATGCGCATGCAACTGCTCTTGGCCAGACCGAGTACGTACCGAGGCAAGAAAATCCTGCATGCCGCACACCGTCACATGCACTACCACAGTACATGCACGGCTGCATTGTTTGTGGAGTAGATGCCCGCCACGCGCCAAGGACTTAAGTACACAGAGAGGTATTCTATGTACAGTTGCGCTCGGTGAAATCTGACCCAGAGTGCACGTTTGGCGCCCCCAACCTGCACCGCCCTTGACGCCCTGGAAGTGGCACGTATGGAGCTGGACGTACACGTGTACGAATACAATGATGTCATCGGGACGTGTCCAGGGCGCCAGATTTGCACTTCGGGTCGGATTTCAGCGGGCGCAACCGTACTAGTACTGTACTATACTGGGTTAATGTACAAGAGGCACAACCTAACTAATTTTTATGATGACAATACACTCGTTTTCGTCAGCAAGACTAGCAGCCGTTGAAACTCGTGCACAATTTTTTTTAAATATCAGCAAAACCCAACACTTCACATGATGTACATAAATAAGGAGGAGAGTCGGTGGTGCAGCAAAACGGAACAAACGAGCGCTAAGACGATTCAGCAGTGCATGGGAAGTCAACAGCTTGGTGGGCGTACCACTTGCAGATAAATCTAAATGGGATGAGTAGAAAGAATTATAAAATGGCCATGCAGCTCTGCATGTTTTGTTCAGGTTTATTTCTCCAGAACCGTGCATAGATAAGGTTAGAAGCGATGCCTGAAGATTAAATGAAGACTTTCAGAAATATACTTTTCTCTGCAAGTCAACAACTCAACAATTCCTTGCACAAACCAGCATGGAAGCTAAGCCAAAAAGAGCTTATACACGTAAGGCATCCTGCTCTGTGAACAGGGAATACCTGAGAATGGTATCAGCGGGTCTGATGGGAGTACTGAGCCGTGTGGCTACAACGAGGAGACATGATCAGCACATCACTATCAGCAGCAGCAGTAGCCCAGTAGTCAGTAGTGATGATGACACCACCGCTAATGAGAAGCAAGACTAGCACTCAATGGCTCGCGGACAGTAGAAGATGCCGCAGCCTCCGCGCGGTAAGAATGGAGGGTGGTGGTGGCGCCTGTCAAGACCACACATTGCAGCACTACTACTGGTAATTCGCAGTGGGCACAGCCCGTTGGTCATAGCCCGCTCTCATGGACACAGGGTATGTATGATGTTTGGACGTGCAAGCGCCTCATCGTACTCCGTTGTCATAATGCTGGCTGAATCGTGTGCACGGTCACGGAGTGTGGCTAGCCCAGAGTGTGTGCGTGCATACAGCCGACTAGTGTGTCGGCAGAGTAACGCCAGCAATAGTACTCACAGCCACACAATCTCACAGCCACACAATCATACACACACATACTCACAGCCACACACCTGTGCGAACACGAGCAGCACTAGCCCTTGATAACAGCGACGGGTCGAAGCTTGATTGCCATCTTGCTGATGCCGGCAGCATGGCCTGAAAACGTGGACACATATACATACAGCATACAGACATCATGATGGCTTAGTTATGTCAAATTGTCAATGTGCACACATACACACATACATACCATACACAGACACAAACATCATGATGGCTTAGTTATGTCAAAGTGCACACATACACACATACATATCACACACAGACACAGACATCATGATGGCTTAGTTATGTCAAAGTGCACACATACACACATACATATCACACACAGACACAGACATCATGATGGCTTAGTTATGTCAAAGTGCACACATACACACATACATATCACACACAGACACAGACATCATGATGGCTTAGTTATGTCAAATTGTCAATGTGCACACATACACACATACATACCATACACAGACACAAACATCATGATGGCTTAGTTATGTCAAAGTGCACACATACACACATACATATCACACACAGACACAGACATCATGATGGCTTAGTTATGTCAAAGTGCACACATACACACATACATATCACACACAGACACAGACATCATGATGGCTTAGTTATGTCAAAGTGCACACATACACACATACATATCACACACAGACACAGACATCATGATGGCTTAGTTATGTCAAAGTGCACACATACACACATACATATCACACACAGACACAGACATCATGATGGCTTAGTTATGTCAAAGTGCACACATACACACATATATATCACACACAGACACAGACATCATGATGGCTTAGTTATGTCAAAGTGCACACATACACACATACATATCACACACAGACACAGACATCATGATGGCTTAGTTATGTCAAAGTGCACGCATACACACATACATATCACACACAGACACAGACATCATGATGGCTTAGTTATGTCAAAGTGCACACATACACACATACATATCACACACAGACACAGACATCATGATGGCTTAGTTATGTCAAAGTGCACACATACACACATACATATCACACACAGACACAGACATCATGATGGCTTAGTTATGTCAAAGTGCACACATACACACATACATATCACACACAGACACAGACATCATGATGGCTTAGTTATGTCAAAGTGCACACATACACACATACATATCACACACAGACACAGACATCATGATGGCTTAGTTATGTCAAATTGTCAATGTGCACACATACACACATACATACCATACACAGACACAAACATCATGATGGCTTAGTTATGTCAAAGTGCACACATACACACATACATATCACACACAGACACAGACATCATGATGGCTTAGTTATGTCAAAGTGCACACATACACACATACATATCACACACAGACACAGACATCATGATGGCTTAGTTATGTCAAAGTGCACACATACACACATACATATCACACACAGACACAGACATCATGATGGCTTAGTTATGTCAAAGTGCACACATACACACATACATATCACACACAGACACAGACATCATGATGGCTTAGTTATGTCAAAGTGCACACATACACACATACATATCACACACAGACACAGACATCATGATGGCTTAGTTATGTCAAAGTGCACACATACACACATACATATCACACACAGACACAGACATCATGATGGCTTAGTTATGTCAAAGTGCACACATACACACATACATATCACACACAGACACAGACATCATGATGGCTTAGTTATGTCAAAGTGCACACATACACACATACATATCACACACAGACACAGACATCATGATGGCTTAGTTATGTCAAAGTGCACACATACACACATACATATCACACACAGACACAGACATCATGATGGCTTAGTTATGTCAAAGTGCACGCATACACACATACATATCACACACAGACACAGACATCATGATGGCTTAGTTATGTCAAAGTGCACACATACACACATACATATCACACACAGACACAGACATCATGATGGCTTAGTTATGTCAAAGTGCACACATACACACATACATATCACACACAGACACAGACATCATGATGGCTTAGTTATGTCAAAGTGCACACATACACACATACATATCACACACAGACACAGACATCATGATGATGGCTTAGCCAAAATACAAGCATCACTGTAAGATGCACCGAATCAATGCTCCCCCCCCCCCCCCCCCCCCCCCCCCCAGAAGAATGGTTGAAGGGGTACACACCATACAGCCCCCCCCCCCCCCCCCCCAGAAGAATGGTTGAAGGGGTACACACCATACAGCCCCCCCCCCCCCCCCAGAAGAATGGTTGAAGGGGTACACACCATACAGCCCCCCCCCCCCCCCCCGAAGAATGGTTGAAGGGGTACACACCATACAGCCCCCCCCCCCCCCCCCCAGAAGAATGGTTGAAGGGGTACACACCATACAGCCCCCCCCCCCCCCCCCTAGAATACTACAGTGCTGCTCCATGAAATCCAATTGCGCGAGTCAAGTATGCACCGGGCGCTGTGTGTGCAGGCACAGACCTGTGAAGACTGATATTTTCTCTCCTACGGGCACAGAGCTACCTTACTTTATCAGATTTCATTGAGCAGCACTGTTCAAAAAACTGTTTAAAAAATCACGGTTCGCGTGAGACTCGCCCAAAGGCCCAGTTTTCTGCTTCCGCAGGAACGCCACCACCCTCTTGGATCAAGGCGCAGATGTAGTTCCTAAACGGTGGGGGGGGGGGGGGGGGGGGGTGAGTAGATCAGACCCACCACAAAGTGGTCAAAGACCGAAAATCCCATTCCCTGCATCCATGTTTCCCTCGTGCCAGGCCACGAGTTCCCAATAAACTGTGGGTCAAAAAGGAGAAAATAATAGTGAAAGAAAAAAAGAAAAAAAGTAGCAGAGGATGGTTTCGATCCATCAACCTCTGGGTTATGGGCCCAGCACGCTTCCGCTGCGCCACTCTGCTTACCACACCAAGGAGCAGGTATAGGGCAGTGCATATAACAATCAGAAGCCATTGCATGCCTCGGCACAAAGGAATGGAAGAGGTCCTAAGTCGTGCACTGAACAGTGGTGCATGCAGGGGGCAGTGAGTGAGCAAGCAGCAGTGAGTGAGCAAGCACAAGCACAGAAGCTGTGCATCCAGCACTCACAGCAACCATGGCTACAGCCAACAGGTGCCACACAACATACACTATGTAGCTGAGTACTCTGGAACATTCTTATTCGGGCGTCTTGGAACAGGGCACTGCCCATATCTCAGAGGTGCCAGTAACTCAGGACAGCTCATTTCATTTTGCCATGCCTCTGCCGCATCCATGCGAGGTTCGTTGCCAGTCATGATTTCTCACAACTCGACCCAACCCAACCGCCAGGCGGTCGGCCAATATAGCCGACAGCCCAACTTCAGGGCTCACAGCAACTATGCCTGAAGAGCGATTACGTGGGAGGACATCTTGGAAACTGATCACTATAGAAACAACCTCACGCGACCTCGCACGTGCCGCTTTGAGAAGCGCGTCCGCGACAGCCCACACGACAGGGAGCTTGCGCTGGCCTAGCTGGGGCAGTCTTTTGTGCTGGCTTCACAGCCCAGTCACGTACCTGCCGCGTTCAGAAGAAAGGACAAGCGGTGCGTGCAGTAGCGGCTACAAGACGTACATGTAGATCGTGTCAACCTCCAACAGTCCAAGCTAAAAATCAAAAACCGAAGTAGATCGTCTTGCCGAGGTGACTTTCAGCTATATCGACCATGCCGACGCTGCGGGGAAGGGTCTTCTTAGTTCTGTTGAGCATGCGTCTGATGCGGTATGTCGTGCTTGTTCATTTTTTCAGGCGACGGTAGGGACTAAAGCGCATCCTCTGTGCTATAAAATGAAACCAAGAAAGACCGCCTCCGCGTGATTGTTGTTTCGCCTACATCGGTACATCGACGCTGCGGTGGAAGAAGGATACTTAGATTTTTTAGCCTACGATGTGCTTTGCTTTTTGCATCTATTTTCAGAGCGCGGGCGTGACAGAGCGCCTTCTGGTGTCCTTCGCCCTGGTTTTTTTTGTTTTCAGGCGACCTACTCACTAGTCGACCGCGTCTACCTCAGCCCTTTATAAAAGCAAACCAAGATGTTTTCATGGCTAGATGTACCGCTACGGTCGAAGAGTCTTTTCTTGGTCCTCATTTTCTTCCTGTTCAGCCTTCCTTTCCGCTCTGTTTTGGTTTTTATTGGTGCCCCTCTTGCTATTCGTATTCGTACTTTCTGTTGTCGAGGCAACAAACTGAGGTATTTTAAACCCACAGTAAACCAAGTATGCCGCCGCGGCGGCGGCCATCAGAGACTTTGGACTATGATAAGGTTAAGTCCAAAAAGAGGAAGCCCAACCCAAGCCGCTTTGTTGGTGGCACGTGGAAGAAAAAAGCAGCTGTTGCGGAAGCCCCCAAGGTCGGCAGTGCCAGAGAGGTAAATCAATCCGTTTGCATTGACATTATGGTAATAATGCACCAGACAATTGCAAGAAGACGTACAACATCATCATGATAATACATATGAGAAGGTGTAGGAAAGAAACCAGACCCACCCATAATACTCTCGCTTCCACAACTGATATTTACTTCCTGTAGGCGGGCACTGGTCACCACCACACAGCAGGTTCGGTTGCAGATGCTGCAAGTGAACAGCGCAGCCGCACACACTCCGACCCTGCCTCTACCATACCAGAGTACCTCGCAGACCTTTCTGATGTGTCGGATGACTCGGTCGAACTCACTTCTTATTCAACGCTGGAGGCGGGACAAGACATTGCTCGAACCGGAGATGCTCAAAAGGTAAGAGTCGCCCCTCTTCAATGCAGAAGTTTATATATAAACCAGCACCCTCTAGCTATAAATCGGCACAACTCTCAGTAACCAAAAATGTCCTCTTCACGCACAATGCAGAAGTAAATCAGATTTATTTATCCAACAGAATTATTTCCGTAACACTGATGGTGGTGGATTATAAAGGGACCACTATAGTTCATGATGCAGACTGTATCTGATCAGGGTGTTGCCACTAAGTATAAACTATTTACCTATTGTTTTCCATGTACAACTGCAGGTGAGCAGTGCAGGAGTCGCGTCCGCCTCTGGGGTACAGCACACCACACCCGCACTATTCAGCAGCAGCAGCACAGCTTCCACTGCTACACACACCGTTCCTCCGGCCGCTGCACACACCGTTCCTCCCACTGTTGAAGACACGATTCCTCTTGCACATGCAGGTACTGCAGCTACTCTGTTACGCACTGCATCGCTCGCTGACGACCCCAATACACAGGCTATGGAATCACTCCAACGTGAAAATGAGCGGATAAGACAAATGCTTAAGATAGCAGAGATAAAATGTGAAGCCCAGAAACAAAAGCTGAAGGAGCAAGCAAATGCACTGCGAGGAGTAAGTAGCGCACATACTAAGCTGCAACAAAAACCAAAAAAGAAACTAGACAAGAGCGATGAGCCCACAACGAGTACAACGGTATAGTGTGCACTAGTGCCCGGTACCAAGCCTGAGTAAACACAAGCATTCATGGCACGTGCCAGGTTCATGAAGTTTGCCTGCATCATGAGCAACCAGAAATCTGCCATGGCGGTGTTCCTATCTCATTATCTACTGACTGAGCAATCTCCACCACCAGGATTTGGAACAACCATCTCACCATCCACGTTGGCGGAATGGAACGTACTTCTCGGAGAAGTCGACAAAGCCCTGCTCCGTGAGAAACTACAAGGAAGCCGCTACAAGGTTCATGTTTTTGCTGACGACAGCAATAATCAAGGCGAAGACCGGCACATGGTTGGCGTACACACATGGTGTGAAACGAGCGACTGCCCGGTCGGGTACGTGTTGGCGAATACCCTTGTGCAGTCCGGTAGTGGAGCGAACCAGGCATCCGTGGATTATCACGTGTTGCAAAACATATATGGTGTGGCAGAGGTATGCGGAGTCGTGGGAGACAATGCGTCTACCCAGTCAGGCAGCAGGAAAGGCCATGCAGCTGAGCTTGGTGTGCTTTTTAAAAGCAACACCACATTTATTGGCTGCTACCCCCACATCCTCAACATTGCCCTCCGTAATGCTATGTCCGATGGCTTTGGACAGCGTGGCAGCATGATGAGCTTCAACCTGTTCCAGCTCCAGCACAAGGTTGGGTATGTACACCACCAGAAGCCAACCTACTACAAGGCACTGTACGTCAGCGAGGGAGTTTTGCCAAGAGCACCTCCACTTCCACAGGAGTTTGTGGAAACTCGCTGGACGTACATCCATGCAAACTTGGAGTGGTGGGAGAAATACGGCAAGGCATGTCTGCAGCTTGGCAAGCGCATCCTGAGATTCCTTCCAAAGAAAGAATCCCACTTTTCTATCTGGGAGGATATCATCCGAATGGCCTCTAATGAGGTTATTGTTGTCGAGCGGACAATCTTGCTCGAACTACTGAACAGGCTCATCATGCCTGGCCTCCAGAAGTGCCAGAGCGGCGATGATGAGCTGCAATTCAGCTCTGGCTACCTAGCAAGAACGTGGCCATCGTATGTAATCAGAGACATGCGGATGGCTGAGCTGATGCGTCGTCACAGCGACTACGCCATGCCTCTGACAGCTGAAGCCAAGGCCAAGCTGGAGCCAGAAACCGCCACACACTTCGCCACACATGTTCAAGAACCCATGCTGGATGCTGTTCTTGCTTCATTCGACAAACACTCCACTAGGTGGCTTCGCTTTCCTCTGCTTTTCGCCATGGGTGCTGATACAGCCCATAGGCATCTGTTCTGGCGTGCGTATCTCCGGGTACGCGCTATTCCTGTCCAGATTACCACTTTCACTGAAGGCGCACCACCAACTGTCTCCGATGAGCAAGGACCAGCAAAGTATGACCAGTTATTGCAGCTCGCCCTAACTTTGAAGTGTCCGAAGAAGCTGGCTGCAAGCTGCTACGAACAGAACCTGCTCGACCAGAAGGCACATCTTCTTGGGCAGGCGACCATGTCCTGGTTTGAGGAGTTTTCTATCCTTGGACTGGTCGCTGGGCAGGTCAAGGACCTCGACACCTGGCTCACCAGATGGCCACTGCCCGCTGACGCTTTGCCGGAGGCAGTTTGCCTTGCACACAAGACAGGTCCGTCATGTCCTTGCAAAGACAGTGAGCCTCATTTGTGGAGCTGGTTTGCGACCTATATATTCGCAATGCCTGTCAACAATGTGATTGCCGAACGGCAGTTCAACATCGCGGATATTTACATCCATCCGAACGAGAGCGAACTGTCAAAGCAGGCAAGCCACTTGTTCGTGGAGAATGTGCTGCACTCCACACCTGCTCGCCTCCACCTGTATCAGTCCATGTCAGCAAGTAGCCGAAAGTCCGTCCGAGTCACGCAAAATGTCATGGAGCATGTTGCAAGGCAGATGAGTGAGTATGCTGCCACTGTAACGCCTGAGCGAGTCAAGAAAGCCAGAGCACAGGTGAAGCTTCTACAAGCCAAACAGTCGACTGCCCGTACCCTCACCGCTGCTGAAACATACAGCGGTGTTTTGTCCAGGCATCGCGCCCGGTCAGCTGATGAGCACGAGCGGAGAATGGCTGCCTTGCAAGAAGAAGGCATGAGGCATGGTGTGGCCCATGATCCAGGCTCACGGAGATCCGCAGCAATCCAGGAGAGGGCACCGGCACGAAGTTTCCCAGCAACTACGGCAAGCAGTACGAGTACAGTTAGTGAAACTGAAGTCAGTGAAGAGCAGAGCTAGCTTCATGTGAGAGCCGCGCACAGCTTTTCTTTCTTTCTTGTGCAGAACACAAAAATAGCTGTCGTGAGGTCGCGCTCGGCGCGCGGAAGCAAGACGATCTTTGCCATTCAAAATGTTCGTTTGTACCCGTTTCTTTGTCGATTTGGACAGTTGATGGCTTAAAATTTTTGTTTTGATCTTGCCGAGAAATTGTCCGAGCCATATTTTCCGTTTTGGCCCCTCATTCAACATCAAGTGCGGCAGAAGCGCACACACTTTTCACTCTCCCGTAATATTGAAACCCGGTCGAATTTAAAAAAAAAAACGCTCGGACAAATCCTTACAATGGGTATTGAGAGTATGTTCCTAGCTTTTCAAAGGTCTAGCTGAAAGCACTAGTACAAATGAACATTTTGAATGCACCCCACTTTCAAGGCTTTCTGCGATATCTGCCTGAGTGCATGTATACGATTCTGGCATGCTGGCTGGCTTGCATGATGCTCGCGTGACAGGGCCCTGTCCAAAATGGCGCCCACGCTTTTGTGTGATGCTGTGAGCCCTGAACTTCATTCTCTGCAGGAATGTTTCCGAAGATGGATCAGAATCCCTACCTTTTTCCGTAGTTATATTGTTGTTTTGTTCAAAGGAGTCACATATCCCTGAAGATGCCCTCTTGGACAAAAATTGGAAAGACTTTGAAGTTTGTTTTGGGGAGATTAGGAGAGCTTTTCATTTTGCGTAGCCAAGGACTTGGTGCGGCCGTGGGCGGTAGAAATTCAAATCATGACAAAGCTACAGAGGAGTTATGCCATCCTTATGGATCTTGCCCGAAAATTTGGATGACTATTTTGTTTTCAGTGATTGGTGTAATGCCAATGGTGACAAGAGTTTACGACTTATATAAGAGAACAGATCGCAGGAAAGTTTCTTTTCTTGGCTTTCCAGTGTGCTGTGTTCCTCGACAATTGGAGACAGGATACAAGAGTATAAAGTTAACGACAATTTAGACAGCGATGTGTTTAAAAACGAACATCCTCGTGTAAATGGACGTAGCTGTATGTCCTTAGGAAACCGTGTGCATACCGTATTCAAAAACCTAAGATAGGGTTTAAAGGTACATGTACATTGCAATAATAATGGTAACTGGCAACTGCTGTTCTATGCTGCATTCACTTACAGGTTTCTACGACATCAGTGACATTCTTGTATGACTCGGGAGCCTGCAGGGACAACAACAACAGAGACAACAACAACAGGGACAACAACAGGGACAACAACAGGGACAACAACAGGGACAACAACAGGGACAACAACAGGGACAACAACAGGGACAACAACAGGGACAACAACAGGGACAACAACAGGGACAACAACAGGGACAACAACAGGGACAACAACAACAACAACAACAACAACAACAACAACAACAACAACAACAACAACAACAACAACAACAACAACAACAACAACAACAACAACAACAACAACAGTGAGAGCAACACCGGTAGCAAACCACGCACACACACACGCACACACACACACCCGTGCACGCACACACACACGCACACACACACACACACACACATACACACACCCGTGCACGCACACGCACATACACACACACACACACACACACACACAATAGGTCGCCCAGACAGGCAGACATAAGCACCGTCCCTCGACATGGTCGAAAAACACCCACACCAACATCAACCAACATCCACGCCCCCGAACATCCACACCCACACCCAAGCAAGCAAGCATCTGGACAGGTGGAGGTGATCAGCTCATTGCTAGACTAGAAAAAAAAAAACACAAGCAAAACACTGCACTATGCAACAGCAATAACGTTGGCAGCAGTAGCAGCAGCTGCACAAGCAGCAGCAGCGGCGGCGCCAGCAGCAGCAGTGACAGTGGCAAGAGAACACTGTACACAGTGCGGTAGGTGCTTGCGGAGCGTATTACTACAGAGATTCTGCTACACGGAACTACGTACCAAACTCCCTGTCAACTGCAGTGAAGTTTGACATGGATTTTTCGTACGTGGCGCCGGTTCTGCTGTGCATAGCATGCTTGTAGCATGCTCGAACTTCCCGCCACATGTACTCTGTGCGCTCAGTTTTCACACGGAGACCAGTCCGTGTGAAGCGCGCTTCACACGGACTGGTCTCCGTGTGAAAACTGAGAAAGCGGTATGAAAAATCCATGTGAGACTTGATCCCGTACCGCGACGAGGTTTCCATACGTACTTTGGTACGTTTGACCGCGTGGCAGAAACTCACCAATTTCACCACATGGTTGTATAATTGTTACTAACCTCCTCCATGACAAGTTTCGGACTGGCTACACGAATGGAAATGCCCTTCTTGGATAGATCCTCCAGGACATCTTCGTAGTTTAGGTTACGCCTGCAAGCAGACACACAATAACAGGGAGAAGCCAAAAAAACTCAGAAAGAAAGCCCACAGGATAGTGAACAACACCCTACTCCCTCGGTTGTAGGTCTATGTTCATTTACCTGCCTCCCATCGGGGTCTCAGGGCAACATGACCCTTGACCTACATTTTTTCATATTCTGGAGCAGCCCATTTGCCTCGGATAAACCAGTCGGATGCAACCGGCCTCTTTTCCGTTGTCTCTTCCAGTGGCGAGAAACAGCTATTGTGGGAGGGCTCTGCTCTCCCCCCCCCTCCCCTCCCCTCCCTTGGTACATTTTCTCTGGGTGTGGAGTTGGAGAAGTTTCCGGTGTGCCTCGAAAGCCTTGGCAATCAAGTCATCATGGTTGGTAACAACATCTGCAGCTTCAACTGCCACTTTGCCTCCTTGCCTCCATGACCCGCCCCAACCAGCCACCCAGTCAGCATCACAGCCATTCCTGTACACTGTAGATGTCTTCACGAAATACTATCTCTATGCTCCATTGTACCTATACTATCTCTATGCTCCATTGTACCTATACTATCTCTATGCTCCATTGTACCTATACTATCTCTATGCTCCATTGTACCTATACTATCTCTATGCTCCATTGTACCTATACTATCTCTATGCTCCATTGTACCTATACTATCTCTATGCTCCATTGTACCTATACTATCTCTATGCTCCATTGTACCTATACTATCTCTATGCTCCATTGTACCTATACTATCTCTATGCTCCATTGTACCTATACTATCTCTATGCTCCATTGTACCTATACTATCTCTATGCTCCATTGTACCTATACTATCTCTATGCTCCATTGTACCTATACTATCTCTATGCTCCATTGTACCTATACTATCTCTATGCTCCATTGTACCTATACTATCTCTATGCTCCATTGTACCTATACTATCTCTATGCTCCATTGTACCTATACTATCTCTATGCTCCATTGTACCTATACTATCTCTATGCTCCATTGTACCTATACTATCTCTATGCTCCATTGTACCTATACTATCTCTATGCTCCATTGTACCTATACTATCTCTATGCTCCATTGTACCTATACTATCTCTATGCTCCATTGTACCTAAGCTAGACCAGATGACGGTCTGGCAACAGCACATGCACCACATAAGGAACAAAATAGTACCATGTTTATGTCTACTTTGAGGTGCATTCCAAAACTTGAGTTTTGGAACAGGAAAACGAGTAACATACAACTATCACAGCAAACTCCATTTCGTACCTTGACTTAGATCTGGACAGTGCACGACCCTATAGGGGCAACGCAGACACACAGACACACAGACAGACAGACAGACAGACAGACAGACAGACACACACGACATTATAGCGATCTTAGAGTCTACAGACATAACGTTGCAAACCCATACATAATGTCGAGCGCAATCTTGCCTATATCCGTGGTCCACATTCACTGCCATGAGTGACGGTGGCACATTGCCTAAGTGCACACCTAATCAATAGGTTCATTCCATTTTTTTCTGGGTTTGCCCTCTTCTGCCCTCCCAGGTACCTTCCCCAGACTTAATGGGAAAAAATAAGGCTGGTGCAGCCTATTAGTTAAAGGTAGTTGTTTTGTCTACATTAACTTTATTCGAAGTTAACAGAAGAACATGAAAAATAGAATATGCCTTGCATTGAGTGGCATAGCAAGCACTGGCTTTTCCACTCCACTGTCCACATCATTGCATACAGGACAGGTGCACTGGTGATGCCATGCAAACAACATCCATGTGTACATCGAGCGCAGGCAAAACCTAGTTTCAGCAGCAACACTTCGGACCATCACAGTCTTTGAATGCTGGACAGGGTGACCCTTGCCGCTGTACACACGGTGAATTAAGAAAAATTCGAACGCTTTTTAATT